AAAAAAAGAGCTGAGCATTGAGGTGGGTGCCTGTAGTTCCAGCTACTTGGGAGGCTAAAGCAAGAGAATAGCTTAGGCCCAAGAGTTTGAGGTTGCTGTGAGCTGTGATTATCATAGCATCTACCAAGGTCGACAAAGTGAGACTCTGTCTCAAAAAATAAATAATAATAATAGAAAAGAAAATTCACTTAGGCGGTTGATTCTTCTGTGATACCAGATAAGAGTAAGGGGCTACAGACCTCAGCAACAATTCTTTATCATGACTTTGTGACTTCTGACTGCCCGCAATCCAGCCTTGGACCACATGAGCAAGCTGAATTTCAACTTGAACAACCTCTCCTCATCTCACTTTTAAGAGGAGGGTAGTAATGGTCTTCTGCTACACACTGCCCATGTCCACGCTCCCTCAGGAATGGGAGGTCCTACAGAATAACTGAACAAGGGTAAGATTTGGAACCAAAAGCTCGGTGCCTGTGGCTCAAGTGGCTATGGCGCCAGCCACATATACCTAAGGTGGCGAGTTCGAATCCAGCCTGGGCCTGCCAAAAACAACAATGACAGCTGCAACCAAAAATAGCCAGGCGTTGTGGCAGGCACCTGTGGTCCTAGCTACTTGGGAGGCTGAGGCAGGAGACTCACTTGAGCCCAGAAATTGGAGGTTGCTGTGAGTTGTGATGCCATAGCACTCTACCCAGGGGGGATAGCTTGAGACTCGATCTCAAAAACAAACAAACAACAAAAAAAAAGATATGGAACCAAACCTAGCCAGGGCTAAATCTGCCACTCAATGGAGACTGAGCCAGTGTCATAATTTCTCTAAAGCTGCTCCTAAACCTATGACAGAGGGCTTATAATACCCAAGGCATGGCTTTATTATGCAGGTTAACTACAGGTGATAAAGGATCTGGCACTCAGCAGGTGCCCAACTTCTTTAGGTCACCTTGGTATACCTACAGCCTCAGGCTATGTGGCTGGGGGTCCTTTTCCCCTTCCAGCAGGGACTGGAACTTGGTTCAGGCCCAGAATTCTTCCTAAGGACTGAATTCTGGTATCTTCCATTATCTCTGACCCTGATTGACTGACTGCCTGGTCTCATCTCATGCTGAGAAGACCTCCCTTAGCCCCACGAAGAGCCTCGGTGCCTGTAGCTTAAGCTGCTAGAGCGCCAGCCACATAGGAGCTGGCGGTTCAAATCCAGCCCGGGCTGCCCAACAATGACAACTACAACCAGAAATAACCGGTAGTCTCAGCTACTTGGAAGATTGAGGCAAGAGAATCGCTTGAGCCTAGGAGTTTGGAGTTTGCTGTGAGCTGTGACGCCACAGCACTCTACTCAAGGCAACAGCTTGAGACTCTGTCTACAAAAAAAAAAAAAGCCTTGATGCTCTGAGACAGGGCACCTTGGAGAGTAGCATCTATCTTATCAGAATTTGAAATTGTCTCATTTCTTTTACCTTAGGCCCTGGTGAAAATAAGCCTGAGTGAAGGCTCCCACAGCCCTCACTTGGGTAGGACCCTCTTAGTTTCCCATACTGTCTGTACCAGATCAGTCCCCTCTTCTTGCCAACCCAGGGCTTCACTGTGGCTGATAAGTTAGTATTACTGTTTGTATGTTGTACAGCACACACCTAGGACCTAGAGAAACTTCTGTCAAGCCCACTAACCTATAAGCACAGGCCTCCATAGTGAACTCTGCCCTAACGGCCTCCCTCCAGCATTCCGAAGCATACCACCAGGAGGAACATTCTTTTACCTTAAATCTTTGTCCACTTTCAAGTTGAAAATACCCCTAAAGGGGAAAAAGTCTGGAACAGGACAAAGGATAATGTCAGGCTTCACAGTCTTTGAAGTAACTATGGGGGAAGAAAAGAAAAGAGCAAGGGGCTGCGGGGGCTGGGGGCAAGACAACACTCCCTGCTTCACCGTTTCCACTGGGCCTGACCCAGGGACTGTCTGCACTTGGGAATGAAGGCCCAAAGAGGTAACAGTAGGCAAGGTTCTCAGAAGCACCTTCCCTAATCTCTGGAGTGGGTCTGCAGTGAGAAGAGCTCTGGGTTGCCCTAAGAACAAACTTCGTCCTCAAACTACGGCCCACGGGCCACATGCGGCCCGCCTAGGGCATTTATCCAGCCTGCCTGGTGTTTTTGCCGCTGTGTCTGTCCTGCTTAGCAGCCGACTCGTCCCGGGGCCCACAGTCCAGCCCTCCACCGGTTTGAGGGACAGTGTACTGGCCCCCTGTTTAAAAAGTTTGAGGACCCCTGCCCTAAGCCAAGATACCAGAGTCCCAGGTCTGCATGTGGGTCCATAACCCCTCTCTGCTCCTTCGCCAGGCTCTTGGTTACTAGGAGAGAGAAAACTGTGCCATTGGTGCTGGGTTTGAGGATGCTGACAAGGTGCAATCAACTAGAAGGGTGGAAGAATCAGGTTGGGCCAGGCAGGAAGAAACCTGAAGGGGCACCGTTTCCCTGGGGCCTGGTGCTACTAGGGGCACCTCAGCTTTGCTCCTGAGGCATCACTCCCACCTCCACAGGCTCCTTCTGTAGCCTTCCCTATTTTCCTCTCAAACTCTGGGACAGCTACTGTCACCTTGTTTGCCAGAGGCTGAGTTCTAACATTTCTCCCAGATCATTTCCTCCTCCATCGCCCTTCCCAGCTCTTCAGCTCTGGCCTCTGATTGAGCTCCCACTACCTAGCTCAGGAGGTCCAAGGTCCGGCCTACAGCCATAGCCCCCATGTCTTCACAGATCCCTTGTCCTGTGGATTCTCACCCTGACTAGAATGCACACTTTATTCCAACTGCTGACAGCATTCTTTAGAATCCAGTTTGGGCCCTCGTCTAGGAAGACCTCTCAGATTTATCCACAGTGCTGCCAGTACCATCACGCTCTCAATGTCTGTGATTGCTCCCTCATCTTTGCCTGCTTTGAAGCATCTCAGCTGAGAGTTCATCTGTCTTGCATAGGACAGACTGTTAAGTGCTTGGTGGGGTGGAGGGTGGAAGACTGGAGTCACGGTTCCTGTGTTCCACCAAGGACAGTCTGCTCCTGTGATCTGTGCTCTGGGAATACTCCAAAAATGGGAACCTTCCCAGCTGCAGGGCCCAGCTGGCTTCCCTGCCTTCTAGCCTGACAGTAAAGAAGCTTGGTGTCTTCCCCTGGTGTCAGTCACTGTAGAACTGGGGCCTAGGCGGGTGGAGAGGATTGGTCCTTCGAGTTCCCAGAATTTTCTTACCTTCTGAATGGTATAAGAATCAACAGTAGGGTGGTTGAAAGATGAAGAGGAAGAAGGTGGAAGGTGGACAGCTGAGCAAAGACCTCCACAGGGAGGAGTAAGAGGAGATGAGTGTAAGCTGAGAAGTAGCTAATTCACAACATTTTAACATTTAGGATTCCTTTATTTTTTGGCCTCTACTTCCTGGGCAATGGCCTAGCTATGGGACAAAAGCATTTGTTTCACTCTTTTATGAGCCAGGCCCCATAAGAGGGTGGGGCTCTGCCCAAATGCTCCCAGAGGGCTGGAGGGTCTCTAGCCAATGGGTATTCTGGTGCTTAAGGGCACTTTTCGGTGGGGGTTTGGCAAGGATGGAGTGTCCAGGCCTATGATCCTTTAAGAACTTTACTTTTTAGGCAGGTGCCTGTAGTCCCAGCTACTTGGGAGGCTGAGGCAAGAGAATTGCTTAAGCCCAAGAATTTGAGGTTGCTGTGAGCTGTGACACCACGACACTCTACCAAGGGCAACGTAGTGAGTTCTGTCTCAAAAGAGAAAAAACTCCCAGAACTTTACTTTTTAAAAACAGTCACCTGAATGGTAGTGGTATGGAGAGTCCGGCATGTACAGAGGGCACTCTCTGTGTAAGCCCCTTCCCTGCCAGAGAGACACCTAGCTTTACAGCAGCTACACAGGGTCAATGGGAGGCCTACCAAGTCCCCTTAGACCAAGGGCCAGAGAAGGAAGTAGTGGAGTAGAAGCTGAGCCATCCTCTAGAGGGCTGTGACTAGAGCCCCCAGGGGAGCCAGGTCCCCTCAGGCAAGCAGTGGCTCATCCTCTGTCTCAACTACCCTGACCCCTGGCTCAGCCAGTGGCACCAACAGCACATCGTCCTCATCTTCTGGGGCCAGGGCTGCTGTGTGAGGTCCAGGCAGGCTGCGGGTTGGTCCTGGGGACCCCAGGCTGGGTAGGAGACGGCCTCGCAGGGCCTGCACAACTCCAGACAACAGTGATGGCTCTACAGGCAGTGAGGGCAGTGGCTCTGGAGCCTCGGGGACAGGAGGGAGAGGCTGAGATGTGCTGGGAGATGGCAGGGGAGCCTTGATGGGCAGTGGAGGTGCCTGTTCCCCATCTCCCCCACCTACTGCCCCACCCTCACGGGTTGGAACTGTGTTGCCATCTAGGGCCTCAAGGGGAGCAGCAGAAGGGGTGACCTGGGACCTAGTCTCAGGGGCCCGGGCTGGGGGGTTGGATCTTGGAAGCAGGCCCCAGCGGCGGAGGCGGCGCACTAGGCGGCGCACGAAGCGACCCCTCGGGCGGCGGCGAGCACCTGAGGCACCTCCTGGAGTCATGTCCTGGCGCAAGAGCTGTAGCAGGGAACGCAGGTTGCCTAGCACTGAATTCTGCAAGGGGAGGAGGCAGACATTAGAGTCAGAGGGCTGGAAGACTGAATAAAGGAGGGTCCAATGGCAGGGTTACAGCAGGGTTGGGACCAGGAGGTGCTAGGGAAGAGTTGCTTACATCATTAGGGTTCTCCGTAGGGAAGTCTTCCACAGGTGGGATGGCACCTTGGGCAATGAGCTGCCCATAGGAGGGTGGTGCCTGCTGTTGTACAATCTCGGCCTCCATCCGGGAGAGGGGAGCGAAGATGCTAGAAGAATGAAGGCTGCTTAGACACTAGTAGTTCCTAGCCAGAGCAGACCACCCCAGCCTAGAAAGACCTCCTCCCTCCATACCCAGGCCAGGACAGCTAGAGCTATGCCATGGCTTTCCCAAAGGTCATCTGAGGTTCCTTCTTCCTTCAGATTGCTTTCAGGGTTTAGACCTTTCTAGGAGCTATTGACAAGCTGGTTACAGGAATCTCTCCCCAAGGTGGACACCCTCATGGTCCCCTGTGGCTGTAGAGTCTCACCCTTTGTCCCCACTCCTCTACCACCAGCCCCATTCCCACTGACCTGTACTCCTGGGTGCGAATGGCATAGAGCTTGCAGGTGCAGCCCAGGGCGATGACCAGTAGCAGGCCACACACTAGGCTGCCAATGACTGCAGCTGTAATGACCTTGCGGGGCAGGGCATAGGAGCAGTCCCACTCATCGCTGCCATCTGCACAGTCCGGCTGCCCATCACACACCCACGTCTCATACACACACTTCTCATCCCGGCATCGGAAATTGCCAGGCTGGCAGTGCCGGCAACGTCTCTCATCTGCTCCATCAGCACAGAAAGTCTGGTAGTTGCAGCGGTCAGCAGGCAGGTAACAAGCTGTGGCACCAGGGGTACCAGCAGGCCCGCAGGGAAAGTGCCCAGGTGGGCAGCTGGGGCAGTCCTCCTCATCTGTGCCATCAGCACAGTCCCATGAACCATCGCAGCGCTGTGCCTCACTGTAGCAGCGCTCACCTAGGCCTTCACCAGCCCCCAAGCCAGAGCCTAAGCCACAGGGTCGGTCCCAAGGCAAACAGTAGCCCCGCACATGGTAAGTGGCATTGAAGCCCCGACCATTGCTCCAAGGACCTGTGCGGTAGGCCACAACTGCCTGGCCAGACAGTGTCTCCACAGTGACAGCCTTGCCATTGCTGAAGTGAGTGAGGCTACGCAGCAGCCGGGAGGCCTCAGGGGGCCCTGGGCCATCATACACATGCACTGCATCTCCATAGCTCAAGTCCAGGGCTGTGAAACGCACTGCCAGGCGCCGGCCATCATGGGGATCCAGAAGCCAGTGGCAGAACTGGGGGTGGGAGACTGAAACCAGATGTGAGTATCCAGGGGAGGAAAAGACCCCATAGAAGTCCTCCAAGGTGACATTGCAAGGTAGGGTAGGGATGGGGCCTGGGGTCAGGCCAGGGAACGGGTCTGAGATGCAACCTGCTTCATCAGAACCATCTCCACAGACATCGATCCCATCACAGCGCTGGGAAGCAGGTACACAGCGGTGGTTCAGGCACTGGAATTCGTTCGGCAGGCACATCAGCCAGTCTGCAGAGGCACAGTAGAGAGGGGCTATGAAGCGCCTCAGGATCCTCCTCTCCTCCCTGGGTTTCCACTGCCTGTTCTTTTTTTTTTTTTTTTTTTTT